AAGCCAAGCTATGCCCTGGCTAAAGCAATAATGCACCTACATGGGACAAAAGAGGAATGAAAAAGACCTCCAACTGACAAAGCCCTCCACTGCCTGCCTTCTTTTTAGTGGGTATGTAGCTTAGCAGCTAAAGCTTCCATGTCACTCTTCCAGAGCAAATAAAATCAAATCTCCCTGCCCACATAACTACAGTGCAGAAGAATGTCAGGAAGGCTGGTGCAGCTGCGGGAAACATCAACATATCTCAGCACTGCAAGGTACACCACACAGCAATGAGAAGACAACAGATTTCAGTAGATCTGGTGAAGACCATGGCTGGATTACCATCAGCATAGCCCCTTCTTTCTTGTTCCTTTACTAATGCCCTGAGGTTTCTAATGAGAAACACTTAAATAGCTGCAGATTGAGGCTGTCACCTAAGTGCTGTGCACTGTCACACAACACAAAGGTGTTTTAGGAGGTGGTTCATCTGAAATCCTACATTTTGCACAGAGATTGAGGCTTAAGCACTAGGCAACACCTGGGTGATTTGTCATGCTGGAGCATCTGACACAGGTCGGATGAAAGCGTGTTGTGTGGAGACTCTGTCCAGCAAGCAGCCAGTCTACATGCCTGACCACCCGGGAAGGGTTTGATGGATGGAAAACTTCAGAACCACGCTGGACTAACTCACATATAGATGTATTTTCCTTTGTCACATAAGATTTCTTACAGGAATGTGAATATAAAAAAGATGCAGTGTACTCCTGTCTCCGACAGTGTGAGACATTTCACACATCTAACATCCACCCGGCACGATAGAAAAGCATGAATCAGAGGCTCAGAGCTGCTCAATTCCAGAAATCCTTCTACACAGCAGCAATCTCCGGTAAAACAGCCTCACAGCTGCTCTAAAAGTATTCCAGCTGGTGTCATGCCTTCCTAAGGAACCATCTGCTAGAAAGATATGCTGACAGTCGCCACCTTCTAGGCTAGAGATGCAAGTGGCATAGCGCTTGCCATCCAGAAGCTGGCATTGTCCCTGGCTTAGAAGAACCACTTTCCTTCAGCAGCATGCCTTCCCAGTAGGTTCAGAGGAACTGCAGCAATTAATCCTTCAATACAAAGCCTTGCTGGGTCCATTTGTTGACAGTTGATCAGTTTGTGCTCATGAGCAACCTCCTGCACCATTCCAGCAATACCCCATTTACACTCTCAGATAGGCAGCAAGTGAGATACAAAAGATGCTGGCCAAGCTACCAAAGACAAAATGATCTTTCCTGCCACTCATCTCAGCTCACTTGTCCCTGCTGACGAGTCCTGAAGAGATGAGAGCCACACTGGACCACCGTGACATCACTGTGTGGGCTGAAAGAAGAATCTCCCAGCCTAAAAATGGCCATTAGAAAAGGCGGGAATAAAAAATCCTCTCCCACCCAGAATTGGGGGATGCAGGGTCAAATGCTACACATATCACCCACGCAAGCAGAATTCTGGCATCCTTCTCTGCACTGCTTCATACTGAAGTGATCTTTAAAAGGCAGTAAAGATCCTCACCCAGGGCAAGCTTTTAACATTTCTGTTTAAATGTACTGAAGAGGAAATCAAACTCATCTTTTTCAAAAGATCCTGTTGACAGTACCTGTCATTAAATGGCAGCTATTCTGCCCTTCTGTTGTCAGCAGCTGGCACAGAAACTCTCACAGCTCTGAACAGCATATACCCACGTACACAAGCTCACATCTTTTCCTCACCATGCAGGAATATTTGATGTGGAAATACAAGCCAAAGAAAGCTTCTCTCTCAGAAAGTGCAACCCCATTGTGAAAAACCACACACCTCAACAGCAGGACTAGGGCACAAACCTCACTCTTTCAGTGGGTGCAGCCTACTGAACTGGCTCAATACCAACCAGCCACACAGGGAGGATGCTCTCAGCATGGCAAAGGACCCACATACCAGCTGCAGCTACTCAATGGATTTGCCTTCTCCAAAGTGCTGGGTTAAGTTGGAAAAGATAATGTGGGTAAAAAGTAAATCAGCTATTTACTCTTTGAATCTCTCGCTGTGTAACTCTTGGGTACCCAGCGCTCCACTGAAGGAATGTCAGATTCTCCCATGCTGGCACAATAATACACAGATTGTTTCTGAAGGTTATGGAAGTTTATTTTTACAACTTTGCTCAGTGCCTACAAATCTTTCAGCTATACAGCATCTGGTTCAGGCACTGCCTTTGAATGGCTTTTCTGTTGGTGCAGTAATTAAAGGTATCCCAGGTGACACCTGATCCCTTATCAAGTTCATTAATTTAAGTGGAGTTATTTGGCTCTCTATTTTCTATACTTCATAATGTATTTCTAACCTTTAAAGTGACACAGGCAAGCACCAGATTGCAGGAGTGCTTATTAACAGCCTATTAAAATATTTTATGGCCTTTATTTTTATGTTGCCATAGGGAATCAAGTATTTTGCTGTTGTTGAACTGGTTTGGGATTTATGTTGCAACAGCTTCACCACAGCCTAACACAGAACAGCGCTAGGAAATGAACTGGGAGAACAAACTCCCATTCAGGTCCTCATGTGCCATAAAGCTGTCAAATGCACATCACAGCAAGGGGCCCTCCAATCCACGTCTTCGATTCTGTTTGTTTTTTAAATATAAGCTGACAAGACAAGATCCAGTGCTCTGGAACCATGCTGAGAGCCACCAAAGGCAGAATTCTTGTAGAGAAACATACTTAGGTATCTTTTTTTTTACCAACCCTGTAAACCCACAGAGGTAAGCTCAGAAAGGATCTCAGTGGTCACCTCTAAAACAACATTACTTGTTGTTTTTTATTCTAGAGCTGCTGTACCACATCCACATTTTGCAACAGCATTAACACAGATTTAGGAAGATCGCGATCTTACCTAGAAGACCATGATTACACCTAAAGGACTTTGGAGATGATGAACCCCTTGCAACCCTAGAAAAGCTTTCATAAAGTGAATTTTCCCCTCTGTTAAAACTCAAGTATATCTGATATTGAGAAAGCAGGTACCTTTGATTTAGAAACTTAACTCTTTTCTGCATAGGTACACATTGCAAATCAAATCACTTCTGAAAATCTTGTTTTGATAAACTTATTGGATTGAGCCTCAGGATCCTCCTGAGTTTGCATAATGTTTCTCTCTCTTTTTTAAAAAACACAACAAGTTTCTTGTAACAAAGAAACATATTTGGAAGAGTATCAGCAACATACTTAGAGTACTTTAATTGCTTGTGTTTTCAAAATGTTTTAATGAAGTCAAATCACGAATAGACACTCCTCTGCCAAAGAGCCCATAAAATATTTTACAATGACATGATAATTGACATAACTGATTGTATAAATTCCTGGCATTTTAAACAAAGATATTACAGATTAGCACAAACAAGAATACTCAGTAGGCAATTATTATCTCTGCTTTAATTATAAAGGCTTTGGAGGTTTTTTGTTGTTGTTTTGTTTTTTCCCAATTTTTAATTTAAATGTCATTCTGAAAGGTTTTCTAGACAGATTTTGTGTGGGTAACCTTAGAAAGACTGTCTCAGCAAGCAATTCCATATCACTAATGCATGACGAGTAGTCAGTCATATAGCAAGTCTCTAGTGCTACTAAATGTACCATTCCTTTAACACCTCGACCAAGACCGTATGAAATGAATGAAAGACTACCATGCTGAGATTAGACCCAGACATCCAGGAGGGCCTGCTCCTCCAATTTCACCTTACAGCTAAATGACGGCAGGAGAAACAGTGACACAGCAAGAGCAGTCTGTCCATAACCCTGGCAAGGACAAACACGGCAGATGAATATCCTGCAGGTCCCTGAGCTCACAAAATCACGGTCTTTCTCAGCTTTGCCTGCATGCATGCAAGGTTGAGCCTAAGAAACAAAAACTTCACCCTGTAGACTACTGCCATGGCACGCCAGTGGCACTGCAAGTTTTTGCTTTTTTTGGAAGTTTGCTTTTAGGGAAGTTTTCAAAGAGGGACTGACCTACTTTAAATCAAAGGGACATCTGCAATTGCAGCTCAACATTATCAACAATAACCTTGCTGAGAACCATCTTGCAATGCTACCATTCAGCCATTCCTAACAAGCTCCTTTCTTGCCTCTTCCCCAGCTCCTGCCACAGAAGAGAATGGATACTAGCTTGCAGTGGTGTCACATAACACTGTGCTTTCTTAGGTGTGCAGTAAAGCACTGACACCAACAATTTCCTTCTGAAGTTCATTAGATTGTTTTATTAATTAGCAGGCTCCCCATCTTATCACATGCTGCACCTGAAATCCCACTTGTATTTCTGAACCAAGTAATTAAAGGCAGAGGTACTTGAATAAACAAGCAGTGATGGAGAATAATATTCCATCAATGTAATGAGGCAGCTTGCTAGATAGTGAGATGCCCTGGCTCAGACATTATTATCTAAGTCCAAGGGTAAGCACACCTTGGTTGGCGATTGTGTCCTCTGTTATAGGCATTCCCAGGTAAACCCCAGTAACTTGGATGAAACTAATCAGATTCCGGGGAGAATTTGGGTCATTAAATCTGTCAGCAGCCAAAATAAACAGAAAAGAAGAAAGACTGCTGTACTCAGAGCATGGAGAAATAGTAATGATCAACAGTTTCAACACCTTCCCTGTAGAGACGGCAGTAATTACGTGGTAATTATCGGGTGCAATTTCCTCTTATGTAAAGGGACTAGGTTGCCTTCTTCAAGGATAGCAAGTGTAACTTTGCTTCCTTCGTGCAAAATTGAATGGAAAATGCACTGACTGAACACTAACACGAGTTGAATCGCTTTAAAGACAGTCTTTCAACAATAGCCACTTGTTGGTATCCATTAGAAACCGTTCTGCAGTGCTGTAATCCAGTACCTTATTATCACTGCTGTCAGCAGAGTTGGTTTCCTTGCATGCCATCATAGAGGAACAGGGGCATAAACAGCAAAGGAAGAAAGAATCAGACAGGAAGAAAAAAAACACAACCACTTACTTGATATTGTCAAGACATCCAGATTCAGGTTTCAGTATGGCAGTATGATGAAACATTTTATAGAGAGCAATCCCAAGGAAGATTACATTAAGCTGCAAAAAGAGGGAGGAAAGAAAAAGGCAACATGACATGGCAGAATGTGATAGGAAGAAATCAGACTTTTCTCTGTAACAGTTTCAGTTTCTGTAACAGATGAGTTGCTCTAGAAAATTAGCTCTCACTACAGTTTTATACAGACCGAATAACAGAAAATTGCCAAGTATTTTATAAGGTGAGCCAGCCTGCAGGCTATGGAGCAGGGATGTCACAGCATTACAAAGCTGTGGAGCAGTGTATGTTACTGATATAGGGCTGGTTCCAACATCAACTGTAGTGCTTCAAATGACGTTACGGAAAATTAAAAACAATTCTCTAATGGCTCATCCATGTCTGAGAGGTACACGCTCATGAAAAGTCTCTAAGTTTCTTGCTTAACCAGCCTCATTGAAAGCAAATCAAAAAGCAACTTCTTCTGTGAATTCACCTTTTAAATAAGGAGTAGTGGAGGAGATGGGCAGGGAAATTATTCTTGTTGAAGATGCTTAGCACAGCGCAAAGCAAAGCAAAAAGAGTCTGAGGTATTCAGTAAAAGACATGATGGTGTTTCAACACTTCAGTGTTAGCAGGGTCACCAGTTCCTGGAAAGGAGTTCCCAAAAGCCCAAGCCAGGGTTTTAGACATAATGAAAAAAGGAAGGTATCTTTTTGTGAATGCATTGTGTGTGAGGAAAAACAAACACAACAGATTTGGCTGGTGGTGCAGCTCCCAGCTGGAGCTGGTGTGGAAGGCTGCTGAAATACTCTCCAGCAGCAGAAGAACCAGAGACAATGTCTGTATTGACATGAGCTCCTGGTTTGCTGTGTTAGCCAAACTCCAGTCTATTCAAAACAAAGGATGGTTTATTGAAGCCATATTGTAGTGATTAAAGTATCAGAAAACTCCAGCTGTCTCTAAAGTTGTGTTCTTTACCTTGTTGCTGTGGTAGCTGATATGATAGCAACATGCTAAGTGAAAAGTCACAGGAATTTCAACTTCTGCAGGGGAGGAGACCCTCTCCATAAAACCTCTCTTCCAGTTTTGACTTTATTACATCCCCTTAACCTCAGATCTCCTTTTCTGCATGATCCACGCAAAGGTTTGCACAAGTTCCAAAGCAGGGACAGTAGGTGGCATCCATATATATACAATAGGTTGGTACTTCTGAGCATCTAACAGCGCAAACCAAGCTGTCCGCGCACCTGCTCCAAGGCAGTGCCCAGAGTATGTACTACATGCCCTCCCCTCCCTGATTTGATCGAGTATTTCACCACATAAAGAGCCTCCTGTAACGAGCCTCTAATTGCTTGTGCCAGGTGGGGTCACAGAAGAACATGCCTTTCTCAAACTAATCTGTGTAAATTAAAGATACAGACTAAAGGGACAGCAAAAGTTTTATTTCTTGACCTGAGAGATGGAGTAGTTAATTAGGAGTTCTTACCATAATTATCAAGGTCGCTGGTCCTATAAAGCTCCAAATGAAGTAGGTGTCAAGTCGGAGCCAACATCTGTAATGAAACACAGGGGAGAGAAGGCATTCAAGGACTGCACCCAGGACATACATCAAGAGTGAGCAAGTGACAGAGAAGAATGTGAGCTGCAAAACACGCCAGTGGGAGACAGGAAATATTACATTGCTTGTTCATTTAAATGCTGAATTATGTGCCCGATTTCTGACAGTGCTATTGATGGAATAAGATAATTACCTTTGGAGGAAGCAGGGGGAAAATGGCACAAGGCCTATCTGCTAGGGCTTTCTTTGTCCATCAAAAAATACCTTAAAACATTTTATTTTAAGGAAGGGCTCCGATGAGTAGCTATGGAGCCTTTTTTGCTTTAACCTCAGCTTTCCTCTCCAGATCTGATGCAACACAAGCTGTCTGTCAACAGTCAAGTGAGATGACATTTTTCCATCAAGCTGATCAGAGCAAATTTGTTGCAAACAGGAAGCATGATTTTGATAACAGAAGGCTGTGGTTTAATTAGGTTCAGCGACTTCCCCTTTAGAGCGTTTTATTTCCCTGATCCTCCAGAGTGTTTTGTTTCTACTAATGTTTCGAGCATTGCATATGGTCTGTGTGATCCCATGAAATTGATTCATGGCCTAAAACTAAATTATTAATCGCTTAATTTCAACTGCGTTTAATACTCCCCCCATTTTTTTCAGGCCCCCGGGAAATTATATTTCCATTCCTAGCTCATTCCAGGCGACAGGAAGATAAAATGGAAGTGACTGGGTACAAGACAGATGAATATAAATTCTAAGAAAGTTTCACATGATGTTTAAAATAATAATATCTTGTCGTGTTTGCAACGCTGCAAATCACAGCTCCATTTATACACAGAGGACTAAGAAAGCGTAAAAACAGTCTTATAGTAAATGTCCGATGAAATTTCATAATTAGATAAGTGACAGGAACTGTATATATGAATTTATCATGGAGGAAAAGATGTCTCTCAAATGACAGCTCTATGCACTCATTGAATTCTTCCCCTTCCAATGGAATTTAAATAGGCCGAAAGGTCTGTGCCAGAAGCCCCACAGCAGAGATCAGCACAGTCTTCTGCTGAGAGAATAAAACATGCCCTGAACCTCGGCGACCGAGAAAAGTCAAGATATGAATAAATTCAAGGCTGTAGATAAAGCTTCCCACTTCCCTCCCTGACTGTATAAATTTCAGGTCTCCACAGTCTCAAAGATGTACCGATATTTATGGTCATGCCAGTATTCATCACAAATTAAAATACAGGCACTTCTGTGACAATCAGTCCCGAATAAGCTCTGCAGCTTTTTACCAAAAAACTCAATGAGACTACATCAATCATAAACATGCAAGGCAAACTGAGAGATCTTCAGAGTGACTGCACAGAAATCTTGTTTCTTCTACATCAGTGGAAGTTCAAGGTGATTTAGACACTGCTCATGATGGAGCAACATGAGTGACTTCAAACTATTGAAGCCTGATTTCCTATAGGAAAGATTTTATGTGATCATGACATATGTGTATCACTCATAACAACACCTGAAATGTCAGCCAATTGCAAGTAGATTTGACAGAGGAATAGAAGTTTCAGAATAATGAAGTACCTGTAAAGAGTCTCTTGCCATCAAAAAGGGTATCTGCACAGCAGCAGCTCACACCTTTAATTTAAGTATTTAAGTATTTAAGTAAGAATACCTGAAAAAAAAAAAAAAAGCAACCGGTGCTTATGCCTCAGCTGCCTGGTACAGATCAGGAGGCACACAGTCCTGCAGTTTTTTCTCACTGATATGCATGCTGAGTAGACTGTATGGCAAATGACTCTGAGGAGGTATGTTTTTCTTTTTAAATTACAATATTTTGAACTTTTTTGCAAGTTCATCATCCAAAACATCTCCCAGCCCCTGCTGCACAGGCATTGGGAATGTGGTGAACTGCAATTACCAAGCAACTTGGTTTTCTTTCAGCATGAAGTGCAAGCTGGTTTTCAGAAAGCCAAGGCAAGCAGAAAGGTATAAAGTGCCTCTCTTCATTCCTTAGAATTGAAGAATTGTAAAGGTTGGAAGAGACCACTAAGATCATCTACTCCAGCTGTCAGACATCACCACCATGCCCACTAACCATGACCATAAAGCATCATATTTTTAAGTCACGCTGGCCAGCCATGTGGTCGCATTTGATGTAGTTGGCTCTTATCATGCATAGATTGAGACACGGGTAAAATCTGCTTCTATTTGCTTAAATCTGAGTACTTTGGGAGACACCCCAGAGCTCTGGGTTTCCCCATGGCTCCCAGGCTTGTCAACTCCTGGCAACAACAAGGAGCTCAAAGATGATCCACTGAACTTCTGGCAGGGAGGTTGCTTTTGCACCTTTGCTTCCTTGCTATGTGAGTGACGACAGCTTCCTTATGTAGAGGTCTCTCACACCTCCAAGATTATTTTGTTCATCTGTCCCCATCCTGCTCATTAAGATATTGTCATATAGCTTGCTGAAAGCTGAAATACAGCAAGACGAGGGAAAAGCTGGGCCAGCCTGAGCAAAGCAGTACAAAGCAACTAGTTTTTCCTCAGTGAGCCAAATGAAGTTTCTTGCTTTCCCCTAAAAATTGGTCTCTTTGGTTGTAGCACACAATGCAGTGATGATGAAGGTGCCCGTGGATGGGGAGCAGTGCAGAAGCCAGGACCTTGATTTGTTCTGCAGGCAGGCAGAGGTCCTGCCCTCCAGCTATGTGGTGCAGATGCTAAGCAGAGCAGTTCCCTTCCCGTGAGAGATGGTCTCATCTAAGCAAGAGCAAGACACAGCTTGCAAAAACCAGAAAAGGCTTTCTTGCCTCTCTGCATGCTTCAAATAAGGTGGTGTAATTTTTTATTTTAATATAAAAAATTGCCTTGTAATGAAACTTCACATGACACTCAGGTAGCTAAACTGAAAGCTGTAGGGTTACAGCTAACCTACGTGAGGATTCTAGAAAGCCAGTCTTTTTGTGGTCATCGGCAAGCAATGCGGCTTCGAGCCCATTTAAGTCATACCTCATTAAAAATGCAAATTAAGAACGAAACATCCAAACACAGGCATCCCGCCAATTCTGTCGCAGAGATGTAAATTGCTAATCAAACAAGTACCACACTGAGCTTTTCTTTCCTTAAAGACAAAACCACGCACACAATGAGCCGCATAAATGAGCTCCTTGAAACAAGGAAGCAATCAGCCAACTCACTTCCAAAAGTTGCTAATCTTGGGCTGCCGGGTTACTTCTGACCCCCCATGCACAGCTGCACTGTGAACACGGACTTGCTTATTACAAGTTTATACTCTGCTGTCATTAAGCAAACAAGCTGCTTCAGGGCTCAGCACAATGCAGAGCAGATTATCCACACATCCATGGATGTGGGAAATGCTCAAAACCCCATTACTGTCTCGAAGAGTCACACCAGCATGTTCAGTGCTGTGCTTGTAATGAGCTCCGTGCCATCGCTTTTCTTTACTTTTTAATTTCCTTCCTTTCCACAATGACAAGTCACTATATTCACCTAAAGCTTTTCCCAAGTAATAAAGACTACAAAGAGTTTACTCTGTTTTCTGCATGAAGAGAAATCAAATACTAAACTATCCCTGGTGTGTATTAAATATAACCAATAAACAATCATTAGTTGCCGTTGGACCATAAAATTTGAAGAGCCCTAACATACCATGTTGTTCATGGGAGTTCAGTAGTTCGTTTCACATGGCCATGCAGCCTCCTTGTCTGTGTGCGGTAATGGGATATGTATGCGCAGGACGTGCCTTCCAAGGGTGCAATATATGTTCTGCTTAATGCAGTCCAGCATCCACATTGCTCACGCTTCCTCCACCAAATACCCAGAGCAAACATTGAAAATAAAACAAGTTCACAGAGCCATCCAAGACGTACTGTATTGTTAGAAGCTATTTTCCAGCAACATTAACATGCAAATAATGTTGGTGGCTGGCTGATGGAATTGGAGGCTGTGTACATATCCCAGGCTTTCATTTTGCTTTATGACAGCTGGATTGGTTGCCATGTATATCCTGCTTTATAGCATACCAAACTGCGTGGAGGGAGAGAAACTATAGAGACATTCCTGGCACAATGAATTTGATCACCAGTGGATGAATATACCTACAAGTACGTTTTACAGAATATATTGAGCCATTCAAAGCATAGCTGCTCTCCTCTGAGTTTCGTAATTGGCATTGATATAAAACCCAGGATAGTATGAGAATATGGAATAGCTTCTGACTGCCAATTTGGGATGGCCTGCTACTTGAGCAAGTCTTCTCAAAGGGATGTTGCTAAAGTCCATTACTGAATTTTTAACACAAGTAATTTTTGCACACTAACAACTGCAAATGCCATTTTTCCTCTGCATTTCGCAGCGCTGCCCACCACAGTGCTTGACATCGGATCCAGGCAGGAGATGGATGGATTTGGTTAACACACAGGACAAGGCAAATGGTGTAGCTTTATAAAACTGTAATCCTAGTATCTTATTTTCTGTAGCAAAACTGGAGACACGGACATTTAAGACTCAGCAGCTGATTTGTTATAGCCATTAGACTGTGATGTTTGCTTTCAGTTATTTTTAAGACCTCAGATTTTCTTGTGCTGCTGAAAATAACTGGCCAGTGTAAGAAATGTCTACTTAGAAGTTAACATAAGCATTGCTGGAATTGCTTGTGATCCCCCGACCACAGTGTTCGCAGTGGAGCTTCCTTCTTTGCACCTTTACTTTAGTCAGAAAGTCAGAATGACATGAGATGTAACACTGCAGTAATTTGGGCAAAAGGGACCATGGCTCAGCTTGCTCACACTAACAGTCCAACCGGCCTGCATGGGATGGTCTTTTAATGCAATCACTGTGCCACTGCCTAGTTATAGCATCAAACTAATGAGCCCTAAATCCCTAATATGGGTCATTTGAACTGCTCTTACACAAACAAAAACAAACAAATAAAAAAAGAACGAAGAAAAAAAGAAAAGAAAAGGAAAGGAAAAAAGACAATGCCAATTCTTGGCATAATTAAGTGTAAGACTGTAAATTCAGAGGGCAGCTACTCCAAAGCGTCAATATAAACACCAGGGCAGAAAATCACAAGCACCAACTGATGAAGAAAGAACCAGAGAGAGGAATAATTGCCTGCTTCTGGCTACATAATCTGGGCACAATGGCTGGGTTCAGAAAGGAAAATCAAATCAAGAAATCCTACACGGGGTGTCTAAGCAAATCTTTCCGAGATGTATGAAGGGTGGCACCAAATGCCAGGTGAAAAACAAATAACACTAACAGCTCCATAAGTCCTGCTTAAACAAATGCAATAAATAATGGAGGAAGGCAAGTAATATATTCCAGAGGATGTTTTACAAAACCCGGCTAAACCAAGCAACTTCTTGCAATCAAATTATGTATGCCTGGCATATAGTTCACTACAAATTCTAATCAGTTCTACCCTTCTAATAACATTACACAGAAAAATACATCATCATCCATCAACCAGATGGAGCATGATAGTCATACAAAACATATTGTATATTTTTTATTTTCCACTATGAGAATGTGATAAAATTGTGCACACTAGAATTAGAGATTATAAATAAATATTTTAGGCTCTATCAATCTCTGTAAATATTTATTTGCAAAATATTGTATACATGTTTAATCATTAAAAATGCTACTTCATGCTATGGGGAGGGAAAGAGATTTTACTGGCACAGGCTTTTGACTGCTGCATTGTCAACACACAAAAAACGTAAAGCTCTGTAGCTCATCTCCAGCAAATTTCAGCTTAACTTTCTTCTTGTACTACCAAAGTACAGAAATATTTGGGCTAGAGAAAGGCAGCATGTTCTACGGAGGCTGTTTATTCTGCTGTGCTACAAAAAGGAAAATTTGCACATGTAATGGGAGTGGAAATGTTTCAGCAATGCAAAGCTGCTCTGGTGCTTTATAGGAGCTGTGGTTAGGTGCCACATGTGTTCCCATGCTACAGACAGGCCGCTGTATGCAGGTAACTGCCACTCATTTGTATGTGGTTTGTTCCTGCAGAGCATCAAGGGAGACTCTGCATAAATGGGGAGAGATGCAAATCAGTCAAATGCCAAAGCAGCACTACTGCCTCATGTCCAAAGGGATACCCTGGATTTGGGCAAATTCTTTTACTATAAGAAATTTTCAACAATGTGTTTGGTGTTAGTTTTCATCTCAAACCAGCATGAGAATTGCTCTGCTGCTACAAGTCCTGCAACAGTAACGCTGCAGAAGACACAGGCAAACAGCATTTTAAGGCAGCTGGGCAAGCAAACCTGTGCTTCATCTCCTCAGACACAATCTGAAAGTGCTGAACAACTAGGCTGCAAACCAGACTGGTGGAGAAAGCGGATGCAAGGGAGCATCTCAGCTGACCTTCTAGGGATCTGGACTACAGCCTAAAGTGGGCCCATAGGGGCCACTGTGAAGAGATGGGTCTCGGTCAAAACACTACAGCAAAAATAAATTTGCCTTCTGCCTCAGCAGAATGTTTCAACACCTGATTTAGTGGGGGATTATATATCATTCAAGACAGGATGTGAATAGCAGAGTTGATTGGGGCAAAAAGCAGGAGGTGACTGATGGAAATACACCTACTACAGGAATTCCAGAAACTGTAATTGGATCTTCTGCTACCTTTTCTTTAACCCCTAGGCCTGTTAAGGTAGGTCATACTGCTGGGATAAATTGATAAAGTTCCCTGAAAATTGACTTCCCCTTGCCCTTATCTTCATGGACTATTTCCTTTCCACAAAGTATGATGCATATAAATTCAGGTTGCTATTTTCCCACTTTGTGGAATGAGAGTGATGCAAATATGCACCTGAGATGAAGCCTACCTGCTGGCACAGTAATAGATCATGAGCTGTCCCACTGCACTACAGACTTGTTTCTGCAAAGACTCAGGTTAGTGTATGCCAATAAGATTTTCAGGAGAACATTCTGCAGTTGGTTTTAACGAAGTATCAACTACTGCCGCACTCTGACCCAAGCTATGCTAAAATCTATTTTAGAAACGCTTTTGAAACGCTTTTTGCTACGTGTGCCTTCAGACTGAACATTTTTAAATGATAATGGAAAGACAGCCTGACAAGGCTTAATTTTAAGAAATTAAATTAAAAAAAAAAAATCAATAAAAATGCACTGTGCTATTGTAACAAAGCTGGCAAAGAGAATCAAAGGTTGAATTTTCCCTGTTTTTTTATTAGATGGTGCTGTATGAACATCTAAATTGTGCTTTGATTCCAGTTTCAGCAACACTGAAAACATTTAAGAATATTCATAATGGTAAATGATGTAGCTGCTCTGATTCACCAAGAACATAATGCACTCTACAGACACCATCTAGCTGAGCTTCCAAGCAAAATAATTTGATAGAACACTTAATAAAGAAGAAAAAAGCAATGTTTCATCGTGCAAATGAGAAATACCCTTTGGTTAGAGAAGAAGGGTGACCTTGTTGATACAAAGCTGAGACTTGAAAGAGCTACCTCTGCTGATGTTATAAACGATGCGATGAAACTTTCCGCAACAGAATTTTCCAGGAAAACACCTTTGCAAATCTCAACATGGTGGGGAATTTCTGCACTGGGACAGAGAGCCGTGCCTTTCAGCTGACAACTGCCTGCACAGCATCCTTCACCTGCTGTGTCCCAGCCTCCTCACTTCCCTCCATCCTCCCCTCTCCCACCTTCCTGCCCAGGTCCAAGTAGAGCCAAGCCCCACTCACACTTTGTCTGTGCCATAGCTCCGGTAGTCCACTGCTGCTGACACAGCCACGATCAGTGCAGGCATGCCATAGCCAACCAAATAGAAGTACTTCCTCCGGGAGTGTTCACTCTCAAAAACCTCCACCAGCATGATGTAGAGCTGCACACCTTCCAAGAACATCCAGGTGAAAGCCGCCAGGAAGAAGAAGTGCAGGAGGGCAGCAAAAACAGCACAAGCAATCTGTAGACAGATTTCAAAAGAGCCAGAGAAAGTGTTTCAACCACACAAACTTAATGTAATACTCAAGTTTACACAAAAACATGTTCTCACTGGGAGGTTTAATAAGAATGAAGGAGTTCTTGTTTTACCATCTCCAGCGTAACAACATTTTTTTCACTTTGGAAACATATATATGAACAATTTTTAAACACACAACTGTACATACAAATTATATTCAAAGATACAAAAGCAGGTATGTACATACTTTGGTAAACAAACACATACAGATGTATATAGTATAAGCAGCATAAGCACACTTGTACTACCTGCTGATTAAACATATGCACGCATACTGTTTACAAACAACACCCCTACAGTCACTAAAATGAGAGCAGGCTTTTTCCATGGCTCCCATGATTTTCAAGTCAGACCCTCAATTTCAGTGTGACTCTCTGGCTGTTAACTCCAGGGTATGTGTGTTTGCGTGCACACAGATTTCTGTTTCTGACTGGTGCGTGTGTTGACAGACAGTTATGCAGGCATACATGCACACAAGTGTGCAGGATGGATGACTTCAGTGCTCCAGTGCACTGGAGTTTATCCGTAGATTCACAAAGGCTGTGTTTCTACTCCCAAAGTCTCTCCACAAACATTTCTGCCTAGGCGACTTTCCAAATGTCAACATGCCCTGTGAATATCCTTGGGTGCTGTGCACAGTCTGACATGCATCAGGGGCTTTCCAACACAGCAGTTATAGGCAGAGTATTATGGGAAGGGATATGAAAAACAGGAAATACCATGAGAATGCAGAATCCATCCCAGTGCTATGAAGAAGGCTTTTTCTTTTTTAAAGCAGAATACCAACATGCAATCTAGAATTAAATAAACGTGGAAAGGCATTGCTTAGGGAGTAGTTTTTTCCATCCGTCCAGAGATCTCAAGGCAGCTAATACAAGCAAGTATCTTGATCTCCTTTCAGTAACCAGAATCTGACTTCCAGTTGATAACTTCACCCTGCAAGAGCTCAACAGGGCTTAAATAGCACTGGAATATATCTCACCCCATGGTAACATCCTGTATGCTGAGAGGTGAGAGCCCGCAGTGGGAACAGAAAGCGTTTTGCCTCTTACCGGCTGGTCAGTCCGGTTGATGCCAATGAGGAAGAGAAGTTCTGCTACAAAAAGGCTGATGCACAAGTTCTTGTGAATTGTGTTGCGGTCACTCTGTAGCCCACGGAAGAAGCAGAAGGTGAAGATGCAGATCAGGAGGCAGACAAGTGACAGCAGGATGCCCACCCAGGTGATAAAATCCAGAAGCAGGTCATGCACTGCATCGCTGTGCTGGAGATAAAACAATAAAAAGATCATCAGCCACATACTGCATAACTTCTAATCTATCCCAGGTAAACAGTGAGATTATCTGAGACCCTCAGACTCACCAAGTCGTGGCACAATTAACTAGTAACTAATGAAGGATATTAAGACTAAATGGACCTAGACTTGAATCCAGCAGCCTGAAACTCATACTGCAAAGTATCTGGCAAATTATGAGTGCCAAGACAAATTCAGACCTCAGAATATCCTAGAAATAATGATGCTGTTGCTGAAAACATTGAGACATCATAGCTAGTCTTGAGTGCAGCTCCACTTTTCACAAACATGGCAAAGAAGAGGATGTACTGCATAAAGAACCATCAAACATTGTGATTCAGGTGTAAAAATGTTTCATACACTACATTGTGAAGTTGACAACCACAAGTCTGTTAAAACCATTTAGCAGTGAAAAAAGACTCTTTACTCATCCACAGACATATATGAGCTTGAAGGTTTTGGACAGAAAGAGAACGCTTAAATGTCTTGTCTTTCTTTTCAACGGGGAACAAGAAAGAACATTTTTTTTTTCAAGACCTGGAGCCCTATGTTAAAACTCCAGGGAAGTCAAACTGAGCCCTGGAACACTCCTCAGGAGAAGAAAAAAAAAATATATAAGGAAAAAACACATCTCTTTTCACATGACTTTTGTTTTAAATTCTAACAAAACAATGGTGTTAAGAAAGCTGGGCAAGTGAGTGTTTCCCTCGCTTGTAACACAGTTACCACAAACCATGCAAGCCTGGCCATTGCAGTTAATCCAGCAGCAATGTTTTGCAAAGTGCAGCACAGGTGTGCTTTGGCTTGGCTGATAAACATCTCTGCTCCTGAACTGCTCCTGAACTTGCATTGCATTTGCTTAGCAGAAAAAAGAGGGCAGAGTTCTGAAACTCTAAGACTCTAATAGTGAGGGCATTCCACCACCTTACCAAGATTGTAAAACTCACCAGTAACTCCACAGGTTTCCACCAGATGTGGTGAAATTAGAGATATCACTACTTAGTAAAATGTAAATAAAAAACGAGAAATACATGGCAAGTCACAAAGTGGCTGCTCAGGACTAAGCAGTTAGAGTCAAAGAGCTGAGTAAAAGACTGCCTGGAAGTCTCCAGGGCCTTTTCACATTTCCCTCCACTTCTGGCATTTTGATGACTTAGGCATTATTTAGACTGGCAAATACAATAGTGTCACACTTCAAAAAGCCAGGACAAACTGGAAACATTTTCCTCCCTGTGGGATAAAAACCTATGACAGATGGAGGGAAAAAGGTGATTAATTTATCCATTTTCTTTGCCTGCCTGCCAATGATAAAGCCACATCAAATGTCAGGCCTTTCCTGATATACACTCTGCTATGTCAGCACCCGTGAGAAACAGCTCAAATCTTTCAGCTCTTTGGCTTTATTAGCCTGAGTGATAGGCATCAAATGATAATGAAAGATGGGGAGTGGATTTCCCCTCCATCTCTTCCATGCTGGAAGTTTTCTTTCGAAGGAGACTCTCTGAAGGAGGCAGAGAGATGAAGTCTCCTTTCCCCAAATGCTCCTTCAGAACTGTTTGAGCATTTCTGATATCACAGGAGCTAGGTGTATCAAGTACAGGACTGAGGCATGAAATCCTTGTGCACTTAGTGCGCTTGACCATGACAGAAATGCCTGTTCCGTGCAGCTCCTCTAGCACCCAGCAAACCAAGAAGACTAAGTGCACATTGTTTTCCTGGTGGCCAGATATTCCTCTATCTGTGTCATTTCGGCTCATCCATTCCTCTAAATTCAATACAAAAACAAGCTAATGCAAACCTTGAGCCTTTCAAATCATTCTCTTTTTCATCTGAGTCTGCAGAGGAGCAGCAGATAACGTCTCTCTGAACAGCCCTGCCAGCTCACCTAAGCAAAGGGACCTGCCAGGCAAAAGTGACAGAAGGCTCTGGGACTGGGAGAGCAGGACAATGCTGCTAACGCAGGTGTATATGTAAGGAGACAACAACCATGAGGGCTTTGGAAGAGTGGGTGACATGAGCCCAGTCTCAGACACAGGCACAGACTCAAAAATTCCAAGGCACAGCTAGCCTAGCAAAAGGAACACTCAGGGTTTCTTCCCATATATAAGACAAAGTTTAGAGAAAGGCCGCTTTCCAGCCTCTTGTCCTCCAATTTGTACACATAACCAAACTTGTCCCCTCCCTGCTGCAGAATCCAGCACTTGCTCTTGTTCATGTGGCCCAGCCCTCCAGTTTGTCAGGATCTCTCTGCAAGGCCTCTCTATCCTCCAGGGAGTCAAAAGTTCCTCCCGGATAAGTGTCATCTACAAATATACCCAGTATACCTTCAAGTCCAGTATCCCAGTCAATGAGGAAAACATTATAGACAACTGGCCTTAAAATTAATACTCTTCTTTCTAAGAAGAGACCAATCCCTGCCACTAGCCAAAGAGAGTTTGCTAGTTTCCCAATTGGCACAAGACTTTCCAGGGGTAAGTATAATAAATAGTACACTGACATGTACTGACATGTGTGCCTGGGTTGCAATATCTAAGCTCATTCCCTCAACTACTGAGACACACAAAATAAGCACATCTTCTCTTTATCCTGCTCCTCCCCAGCACAGTTCAAGCACTCCCTGACCAAGGACAAAATAGCTTTGACATATACACGAATGATATCCTTGTAGAACCCAGCAAGCCCTAAGGTCCCTAAAGCATGTGAAACACATTCAAAACCACCAGAGTGCTGATAACAGTCAACTTGTTCTTCTCAATAATCTCCTGAAGATGCTGGCAACCAGAACCCATGGGAGATCCCAGATGTCATGACAAGTATCAATTTCCTGACAGTATCAAATACCAACTTGCCCAAATGCATCATGACTGCCAAGACATGTATATCAAGACTTTCAGGGTCCCTTATGCAAACCACTGAGTGTTGTTACAGCTAAAGCCATGCTAGCTTTAAAGGTAAGTTGAAACGTGGATTATTTTCAGGATAGGAACAATTATTAAGCGAACTACACAATAACATCCAGGTGGATGTATTCCTTTGGATTCCAAAACTGCATTGCAGGCTTAAAAGCAGAAAAGTTTGCACTAACATTGTAAAAATGTACACGTAAAAATATTCTTTGTTACGTAAGTTTTACATCTGTAACTTAGGGAAGAACCCGACCCCAAATTCAGTGAAGGAAACGCTCCTTCGCTCCTTTGCTTTGGAGTAAAGCCTTTCTTTTGCTCAGGTGGGCCAAGAGCTGGTGGAAAACAGTGCTGTCAGAAACTTGTGCAGGAGGAGCTGCAGGAACCTCAACAGCCACCACAGTGGATGAACAGGCAACCAAGCCATTATCCAGGCTGTGAAATCAATGAGCAGCTCTGGCAGTGCCGGCACAGCAGAACTGAGCTAATAAAAACAAATCCCAGGGAATGTCAGCTTATGACAGAATGGCTCTCCCCAAGATGAACAGCCATTTCCTCCCTTATTAAAAACATCAGTAGAAGAAAACAGCAGCCAAACCAAGCTGCCAGCAGCAAAGGACACATTCTTTTGCCTAATCTGTCCCTTCAGGAAAGGAAAGAGTAATATATTTGGAGATGGAGGAATAAACAAGCTGTAAATAACACAGTGTCATCGATTCACTCAGATATGACCACTCGGTGCCTGGTGAGAGCTGGCAGTGCAGGGCTGGGCAGAGACCCAATGGGACAGATCTGAACTCCTGCACACTGCTGCTTCTGCAACTTCTCAGATTTGCAGCTCTCCAAAGCTGTTTAGGCTCTCTCTGCCCTCTTCTCCCATCACTGGTGTCAAGAGAGGATTACTGCTATAGCCTAGCTGTAATGCTTCATGGCAAAGCACAAAGGATTTAACTTTACAAGCAAATGGTTTTGTAGGTATGCCAAAAGTGTCGGCTGGGCTTCCTTTACTGGGAGGAAACTCCAAGGTCTCCTGGACTTCTTAACAACACTGCTTGCTGTAGTTATGCAGGCATATTCCAATGGGGCTTTCCTTCCTCTGTGGCCAAGTGGGACATGTGCTGGGAAGGGGAGCCCACTGCCCTAGAAACCATCCTGTCCTTCCTTTCCAAAGATGCATCAAGGGAGGCAGCCAGTCCTGTTCTGCTGGAAAACAGTAGCCACCTAGGTGTGCATCCCCTTCGTGCTCTGCAAAGGCAGCACAGCTCTGCCCTGCTTTCATGGGCACTGTCAGAATCTAATCCAGGAATAGAGCCTGATGCCCCTCAAAGCCTATGTGCAATGTCACTGGCTCCTCACTACCATCTTTTAAATAAGGCTCCAAATTCTGAGCGTTCATGCAAAGTGGTTTAGCTGCCAGAATAACGTGACACGGGCATACACAAAGGGAAATGGGTACAGATCTCATCTCACTATGCACTTTAAACCATGCTGTGGATACGGTGGGTGGCAAGAGCCCAGGTTTCCATCTCAGTGCTGACAGTGCTGCAGCTTTCCTGCGGCAAATCACACCGTGTTATGCAGGTGAGGAGAAGTGGTTTGGATCTGTAAAAGCAACATCCTGGCCCTCTCCTGCTGGCTGGAGTTGGTAAAGTGGCACAGTTCTGCTTACTTATAAGGCATCTCTAACTCCAGAAACAAGCCATAGTGGTGGTGCCAAGCTCACAGTGTAGATGTCTACACAGCCAAGCAGCTGGCTCGTTAACTTGATTTCCCAGAAAACCTGGTCACAGCATCATCAGCTCCTTCTGTCACACTGATGGCCTTACCCAGCCCAGTTCCAGGAGAGCAGGGACAGGGCTACACCATACCATAACCTTCCCTTCAGTCCTCATACATACAGCTGCCTTCCAAGATAAGGAACAGCACAAGCTATGAGGCATCTCATTCCCCTTTGCCCCTGCTTATTGTTTAAAGAGCCAAAGCATAACCTTTTCCTCTCTTTCTTCATTCTATTCATCTCTTTCAAAAATGAGATTTAAACTGGATATCAAAGAGGCACATGGTTGA